AAAAGAAAAAAAAAAAAAAAAAAAAAAAAAAGAACTAACTATGATGAAAGATAGAGCAGGATAAACGGGAAAGCCACGGGTGAGAGCCCACAGGCTGCAGGGCTGGGGGTGCAGAAGAAGGAAGAGTGAGCCAACCAAGGAGGTCAGGGAGGCTCGGCACAGGAGGTGGTGTCTGGATTGGGCCTAGTGGGTGACTGAAAAAGACTCCTATGGGCAGAGAGTCAGTGCGGCGCTCTTGTCTGGAGCAGGGCTACACAGGGGCTCAAAGGTGGGGAGGGGGGCAGGCTGCAGGGCAGAGCTGCTGGAGCGTCTGGCGGAGCTGGCCCAGCCTGTCCCTGCCGCTCTCACCCGTCCCTCCGATCTGCCCGCAGGAGCGAGACTGTGCTGCACCAGTTCTGCTGCCCCGCCGCCGCGGACGCCGAGCAGAAGCCCGCCCGTGCTGACCTGGCCGCCCACAGGTGGGTCGCTGGACCTCCGCCCTTCCCAGCCCACCTCCCTGCCTCCTGCAGCAAAGCTCAGGCCTGCGCTCTGCGGCCTCCGCCTCTCCAGCCTTGTGTGGTTTGCTCTGTTCTTACCTCTTTCCTCATACTTTCATTTCTCCTCCCTTCCACCGGACCCTGGTTGAGCCATTCCCAACTTTTTTTTTTCCTTTTTGTCTTTTTTCGTGACCGGTAACGGGATCGCAACCCTCGGTGTCGCGCCGGCACTGCGCTCAACCAGTGAGCGGACGGTCTCTATATGGGATCCGAACCCTCGGCGGGAGCGCCGCTGCGCTCCCAAGCACCACACTCTACCGAGTGCGCCACCGGGCCGGCCCGAGCCATTCCCAACTTTTAAGGTCATTGAATCCTATTGTTCACACCCCTGCTGCTGCTTCCTACATGGCCCATGTAAGATGTACTTGTTGTGAACATCAAGGGCAATTAATTCGGTTATGTATACATTAAATACATCTCACACGACAGGGCGTCTGGCACTCAGAGGGTGCTCAGCCAGTCCAGAGCCCGACCTTCCTCTCATCTCAGGACTTACATTTTTCTTTCTGATCTGTCTCCTTCCATAGAGGAGCCAAGGTGGCTGACTTTATTTATTTATTTTTTTAATTTTTTTTCCTTTTTGTCTTTTTTTGTGACCGGCAACGGATTGCAACCCTCAGTGTCGCGCCCGTACCGGACCGGGACCGGCCATGGGATCGCAACCCTCGGTGTTGCTCCCGCCCCTCGCTCAGCCAGTGAGCGGGAACCGGTCTGTATGTGGGATCCGAACCCTCGCCAAGGTGGCTGACTTTAAACTGAAGGCTTTCTCCACTCGCAGCCTGGGGAGCGGAGGGTGTGTAGAAAGGTCACCGGTGGAGGCACCCCCCAGCCTTCTCCTCGCTGTCTCTGGGTTATGCACACCCCTCTTCCTGTCCCCGCCCGCTCTGGCCATCCCTCTGCCCTCCATCTGTGTGTGCTGTCAGTCTCTGTCACCTTGTTCTGTCTCTTTTCCACGAATCATGCTGTCTCAGTTCCGCACATTTCTCTTTTCTTGACTTGTTCTGTACTTCACTTAGAATCTGCCCCCAAATTTGCCCATTTCCAGTCTCCTGTAGTAGGAATGAGTTTGGGCAAGTTATTTAACCCCCCCTGGGCCTCAGTTTCCTCGTCTGTGTAATGAGGAGTGGTCTACCTAGAAAGTAGCGTTTACATGTAATCTCATGCAGCCTCTCCAGCTCGGTGGGGCACACTAGGCAGCGCATTATCCCCCACTTAGGTGAGAGCAGGGTAAGGACTAGAGACGCAGGGGCTTGTGCACCGTCCCACAGCAGGGCCAGTGCCTACACTTGAAGTTGGGGAATCTCACTCCTAATGCTCCCCATTTTCAGGTTTAAGATTCAACAATTGTATGATCTTTCCCCCCTTTATTTCTTGGAAAATAACCAGATAGTAATCAGAAGTGGTAGCTACTGACCTCGGGGTACAGAAAACCACCCCCTGGAAGCCACTGCTACTTGTTTTCCCTTAAAGGGCCATCACTGGAGGCCAAAGGAAGAGGCAGGACTCTGAGGAGGAGGCTCTGGGAGGTGTGCCCAAAAGAGGTGGCACCCCTTGGAGATCCTTAAACCCAGGGCATGGGGAGGGATGGGAGCTCCTGAGGCCTCCCTCGGAGGACAGGAGGCAGATGGGGAAGGCCACGTGCTGCGCTGTGCTTCAGTGGTCTGTGCCCCAAGGGCTGGCCCTGGGTGAAGACAGTCAAGGCCCTCTATGACCCTCGAGGAGCTCCCCACAGTGGGGCATTAGGATGCCCCCAGAGTGAAAACGGCCCACCTGGAAATTAGAAGGAAGAAGAGAAGTGGAGACAGTAAGAGAGACAAGGACAGAGGACAGAGTGGGATTCCAGGAGGCATGGGGTGGCGTGGGAGCAAGACACCAAGGGGCTGTCCCTGTTCAGACCCATGGCCACATCTCCTTCCTAGAAACTTCTATCCTTGCCTGGGGGAGGAGAGGAGAGAGAAGCTGTCCGTCCACCTCCCATGCCATCAGCTGCACCCCGTCCAGTGCACAGCTGACTGACATGAGCCAGGCGCAGGGCTTGGGTGAGGATGGGCCGCACACACCTCGGGATGCTCCCTGGGGTTTGCCATGGTCCCCCCTCGCGCCCACTTGTACCCCGATGCCCTCGTGTGCCAGCACTCCCTGTCTGTGGGAAGGGGCGGGAGAGAGTGCCAGCCGCTTGCAGGAGGGTAGGGGCATGGGGGATAGGGGAGAGGGTCACTGCTGCCTCACAGGAGCCAGGGTGCCAAGGGAACAGGATTCTTTTCCAAGGGTTGGGATGGATGGTAGGAAATCCATGATCTTAGTTTCCAAAAGGTCTGTTTTCTGCTTCCCCTTGGACATGCAGGGGCTAGGTTTGGGGGGCTGGAGGAGCGCTGGGGAAGGAGGTTGGGAGCTGGGAGATTTTCTCGAATCCTGGCTGAGGGAGGGCCTGTCAGCACTGCACACCGTGGGCCTCCGCTCTGTGTGTGGGGCAAGGCGATGCCCCAGGATGGTCCAGGGCTTCAGCTGCCGTCTGTCTCTATCTCCTGGTTATTCCAGATTGTCCTGTCTGTCTGTCTGGTTTGTAGTTTTCTAGAGCCTGTTTTTGTCTGTGTGTCTGTCTGGTGTCAGTTTCTCGGCTTCTGCAGGAGGAGGCCCTTGGATGTTTTCTGGACAGCCTAGCAGTGCGTGTGTCAGTTTGTCTGTCTGCTTTTGGCTTCTCAGGGGAATTCCATGCTGAGACAAGTTTTCTCCCATCAACATCCTTGGACGATTCTCAACATCCCCGCTCCCAATCCCGTGAATGACCCCTTCCTAACCTTCAGCCTCGCGCCTAGACCAGGTGTCCCACCTCCAGACAGTGTAACCCAAGCTTCCTGTCAAGTTCCTCTAGAAGAAGGTGTCAGGGTCAGAGACCAGGCTGGGGACCAGCACAGGGTGGGTGGGCCACGAGCCCTCTGGCCGTCCTAGATCCTGGTCCGGGCTCTGAGACAAACTGGTTCCTCCCTGCTGGCCAGTCTCCAGCCGAATCGTGGCCTCCACTGAGGGTTTCTAGGGATAAGCCAGGTGGTCTCTACAGGAGACCCCAATAAGGAATCCAGAACCAGCCAGTCAGATCTAAGGGCCTTTGGTGTGTCCCCTCACCTTCTTCCTCCATACTCTGGCTGAGGCCAGTGGAAGACCAAGGTCAGCACAAGTTTGCGGTGTCCCCCCACTGCTCCCACTCCAGCTACAGGGCTGAGCGGGGGTCTCTTTACTTGAGCAGGTGGGCCCATGCCCTGCGGGCTGATCAGAGATACAGGGGAGCTGCTTCAGCCGGAGAGGAACTCTCAGCCCAGAGGAAGCTCTGCTCTCTGCAGAGACACCAGGGCCAGGAGGAATCCTCACCCTCCTCCAGAGGCAGGGCAGACTCAGCCCTACAGGGCCAGGACAGCCTTCCCTGGCCACCTATGAAAGAGCAGTTGAGTTGAGGGCTGGAGTCAGGAGATTTTCTGTCGTGGGGCCTGGAGCCTGCCAGGGAGCGACACTCCCAGGAAACTGAGCAAGTGTAGAACTGGGTGTCTGAGGGGGAAGCCAAGGGGTGGGCATAGGGAGCCGGGTGCAATGGAGCAGCCATGGGGCTGGCAAAGGCCTCCGAGGCTGCACAGCCAGGTAGAGTGATCATGGGCTCCACTGTGCCTTGTTCTCCACATAGCACTAGGAAAACAACCTGTGCCCATGGGGTAATCAGGCCCTCGGGAGGGAGGGGGTGCCCGCCTCCCAGCAGCCGGCCAGGGGACAGCAACTGTGCGCCAACCTCTTTCTCCGCAGAGGCCCCTTCCCCACCTCCTCCCTGCTGCTCGCTGATGACAGGGCTTTATTCTGGGGAACTGAATAGGCCAGTAATTGCAGCCTACTTTCCATCCCAAGGGCTCCCTCCCGCTCAGGCTCTCAGTGACATTCGCAACAATGACCTGGGAGCTGGCCAGCCGCCTCCCCCTCCCTGTGCTGAGCAGAATTGCAGCCCATTTGTCTCCGTGGGTGGTAATGGGGCCCAGATGAGGAAGATCGGATTCTATTAGGATAATGGGAGGGGGCGGGGCTCAGGACGGGAGGCGCTGGGGAGGAGCCGCAAGCAACCCCCTGGGAGGAGGGACCTGGGGGCCGCGGGCAGACCTGACCGACTCACCCCTTCCTTCTCACGCCAGGAAGGAAGAGACACCGATGTGTATCGAACACGCCAGGGACGCTGTGCTAAGCACTCCCAATACTTCTCACCCAATTCTGTGAGATAGGTGTGGTTCCCACTTTCAGATAAGGAATCCAGAGTGGGGAGAGGTTAGGTATCTTGACAGAAGGAAGAACCGCTGCTAATCTATTCTGGAGCTGGAAGGTGAACCAAGTTCTTTTTTTTTTTTTTTAAAGATGACCCGTAAGGGGATCTTAACCCTTGACTTGGTGTTGACCGGCCATCCCTATATAGGGATCCGAACCCGTGGCCTTGGTGTTGTCAGCACCGCACTCTCCCAAGTGAGCCACGGGCCGGCCCTTGAACCCAGTTCTAACTCCAAAACACAACCTCTTTCTACAGAGCTGCTGGGTAGGATTTTTTTTAAAGAGCTCAAGAGAAATCCTTCTAGCCATTTTATTTGATCTTAAATAACATCTATTTTCACTGATTATAAGTTATACGTGCTAGTTGTTGGAAATGGGGAAAATACAGAAATATAAAGAAGGAAATAAAAACCGAATCCAATCCTATAGAATTAACCACTGTTTATATTTTAGTGTGCAAACTTCCAGTGCTTTATTTTTCTACGCATTGGGTTTTCGTTCCCCTTTCATTAAAGATTTTGTAGCCCACATCTCCCACTTGGAGTTCTGCATCCATTTCGATGGCCTCCGGCCCTAACCAGTCCCTCGGGCCCCCACCTGTGGCTTAATCCATTACATCATTGCTAGCC